AGTCGCCGTTGATCGCAGGTCCAGGCCCCAATCTATTGAGTTGGTTTCCCCCGTTTAACCGTCCCTTGGCACTCTCGATCCTCCAGCAAGATTCCAAACCACGTTCCAATGATGTCAGTCATCGATACCAACAGAGATAGGGGTATCCCTTATCTAGGAGAAGTCAATCTCGAGCCTCCAGTGCGCGCCAAACCGAATATGTGTCACAGATAAGACCCGGCCCGTCCGCTCCGGGCGCTGGTGTCGGGCCATCGCGGGCCCGTAGCACGCAGCACGTGACAACGGGGAACATGCGCCCCAGTAGGAGGAACGCACACGTGGGAAGCACGTGACCGAGAACGACACGTCGAGCCGTCGCCGAGCCCAACTCGACACAAGGGGATTGGGGAGGAGTGCTAGGAGGTTAGGAGTAGCGCCTGGCCCACAAGGGATGTACGATCGTCCCCTCTGCGGCCAGGAACAGGGGCGAGGAGGAGCAGGAGAGGCCAGGGTGTCCGATCACCCCCTTTGCGGGCCCGCATATATAAGGCGTGATAGTGTACCCTGTACTCTATTGCTTAGATCGTCAGAAGAACTACCTTGGTCCGTGCAAGGAGGCGCTATCGACTCATCGGGCCCGACACAACCCGATTCGAGCCTTCAACCACCGACAGCGACAAGGGACCGAGTTCACGGGCCCTTTCGGTTTTGATCTACCCCACCCACCGTACTTGCGGACCCAACGATCCGTCTGTTCTGTTCCGGGCACGCGTTCTTAGGAGAGGTCCTTGCACGGCCCGACCCGCAGTCTGACAGAATCTAAGCGATCCCCCTACAACCCGCAACAGAATGGACACTACTACCGTCATCGCGCTTCTGGCTTGGGCTGCGATGGTGACTGTCGTCATTGCCTCCCTCACCTATCTATACGGGCGCACTCTCAAGACCCAACCCGTGGTCTTCAACCGCGTCCTGTACGGGAGGAAGGAGCCCGCCCTGAAGTGGGGCACCCCCAGGCAGGTCTCCCTGGACAAGCACCACCGACACATGGAACACGCTTGCCCGGCCCATGGCGCCAGGCCTGCGGTGAAGCGCCGATGCCTCAACAATTCGCCGCCCCTCCCGGCCTACGGCCGGGTTCCGATCCGGATAGTTTTGGACCGCCCCGCGCCGGCCGGCGCACTCTGCTTGAAGAACCGGTGCATGCTCTGACCGAAAAGACCCTGGGGGTCTGCCCTATTCCTCTCTCGTAATCTTCTCTATTAGCCTTTGGCGGGGCCTTTTTTCCCCCAATAATACAAATCTCTTTTCACCGATTACACGTCGAACAAACACCGGACCCAAGGTGGATTGCAAGCGCGAGTAATACAAAAAAGGCAAAAGCAAAAAAACACACGAGAGAAAATACGTAATTGGTCCGCATCGCGACGAGGAAGTACTACAAAGACGAGGCCAGCTGCGACAAATGACGAAGGCAAGGGAAGGACGATAATACCAGGATGTCCCAGACCCGAGTAGACGAGGCAACCTCGGCAAACCACGTCCATTGCGACGGCCGTTGACCCGCCGAGCCTAATCCAGGTCCATTATGTTGAAACTCAGGCTGTCCTGACGGCACACATCCACATATACCTCCCGCTCGACCAGTTGTAATAGCGAAGACACTCTGTTTTGCTCTATGTGTACCTACCCTCTATTCAGCTACCTTTAGTGACACATGGCAGAACCACAACTGATTATGGTTCAGGGTCCTAGTAGACATCCAAATATCCTCATACACCCACCTCAAGGTCCAACACTCAGTCTATAGACCTCACTATTCATGTAAACCAGTACTGCATGCGCATGTCTTGGAATGTTCACCCTAATTTATCCTCCAAGAATATGCAGAGATCAATCCAAGTATCCTGGTAGGTGTATACACCTCATTTACCAAGTTTTATATATTTGATCTATAATCAACTACCAGATCATAGCTGTATAGCCAATATGATGTGGAATGTGGTTGAGGGCAATATTGGAGAATAACAGCATATTACACATATATAAGATGGTGTGAGAGATGTCATGTCATCAGAGGACCCCTCTGTATACTTCCTACCTTTAATCCATGAGGGGTCCTTTGTCTCTGAGTGAGTTATTGGGAGATTCACACAATAGGATACATGGCATATATACAAACATATGAGATGTCTAAAAATAGATGGGTTTCTCACAGTTATGATAGACATTCATTAGTCTATAACACAATTTACATCATGATTATCCATGCATTCCTCACCCAGATATCAAGTCATCAGTGTGCTTGATCAAATTTGAAGCAGAAAAGCTATAGAAAAGTGGTATAACAGTATATTCTAAAGGTATGAGACCATATTCACATCAGATCATATCAAGACAATATGACTAACTGCCTACTAGTAAAACAATCATCTGAATCTCTGAAGAACTGGTGGAGATATGGCTAGATCAAAATATGTGATGGATAATCACTGTTAGGTAGTGTTAATACACAAATAAGATTGAATTGATAAGAATATAGACCTTACCATTCAGGTATCCTTAGTAGTCCTTCAATTAGCTGTGTAACCTGTATAGTTATTAAGATATCATCTCATCAGTTATATATCAGCTAGTGATTGGCTTATGCTGGTATAACCATTCAGCTGTGACTATAGGTTACTTAATGAAAGTTGTTCGTATAAACAAAATATACAACTTTGGTTTTGTGACGATCTGTCACATTCTCTGATGATTGTACTGTCAAATGGCGAAAATTTCCTTTTTTGGAAATTTGTCACACTATGTGACCTTGTATAACAGCGTGACTCAGGCGCTGAAATGAACACAAGTCACTAGGGGTTCAATTATTCAACATCATTCATAGCATGATATACTTGTAGTATAACGACTAACAAACCACTTTGTGACGTCACATACCAGTTCAAGTCCAAGTCTTATGCTAACCAATAAGCCTAAGTTACCTTTGAGCTTGGGATTTATGCACTTTATAGCAGCTTTATTGGAGTATTTATCACAGCGTAGGGTTTCAGAGCCATCCTCTCTAATTAGAATGACCAGTGGGGGGTAATGGTCATTCTAATTAGAGAGGATATGCGGAATCCACAGGTGGGATCCAAAGAGAAGAAACTCTAAGGGTCCGCCTGCTAGGTAGCTGACTATATACTGCTTGTCCGTAGCTGCCGCTGTTGGGCACAGAAGGCTTGGGCGGCGTTGCAGGCGAGGTCCCAGGGCGACCGTCGGGAGGGCGTTGATGGATTGGTGATTGTGCGGGCGAGATGGAGGGCCGGACCAGAGTCGGAACCGGAGTCGGACCGGAATCGGACGCGTCTCCGAGGGGCCGAAAGGGGGGTTCCCCTGACACCTTTGTGGGTGCGGGCCTGAATCTCCAAGCAGTGCAACGTGATCTCTCTATCCAGCCTTCGATGGTCCAACGTTGCCTCACGATGCTTGGTGTGTGCTTGGAAAGTCTTCGAGGCTGTAAGGGCAACCCTGGAGACTCCGACGAAAGCCTAGCAGGGGAGGATCCAAAGCGTGAATAAAGGCTACGGAAATACATGGAGGGACCGACCTAGCAGGGGAGGATCCAAAGAGAAGAAACTCTAAGGGTGCGCCTGCTAGGGCGCCAACTATATACTGGTCGTCCGTAACTGCCGACGTAGAGCGCAGAAGGGCTGAGCGGCGTCGCAGGCTCTGTCCCAAGATGATCGTTGGGAGGGTCTTGACGGATCGGTGATTGTGCGGGCGAAGGAGGCCGTGGACGATGGTCGGGGTGGGTCGGAGCGTCCGAGGGGGCGCCAGTCGGATGCGCCTCGGATGCGTTCGGAGGGGCCGAAGGAGGCCGAAGCGGGGGTTCCCCTGACAGGTTGACCCTATTAAATGTAGTATAGAACCCCTGCTCAAGTGTCTACTGGTCAACCTAATACTGGTGGCAATGCCCCCTGATTGTATTTTGAGAGTCCTATGTATCCAAGGCTGGGATTAGAGAGGCCCAAAAGGAAGTTGCCCTGACAATCCAGCATGTATTTTATGTATTAATTTTTTTATATGATTATACTATACTACAAATACCTAATATTTTGGAGAGTGACCATATTTTAGAGCGTGACCGTGACCCCCCTGTTTACGCAGTTGCATCGTGAATACAGCGCCGGCGATATTCAATACACCAAGTGTGCATGCTAAGTATACTCGTCGAGAAGCAGCGTCGTCTCAGGCTTTCGAGTTAAGATCCCCCTGGTTGGCCGCGCCCGCGCCCGCGCCCGGGCCGCGGAGCTGCGCGATCTCCTGCTGGAGGGCGGCGACGCCGGCGTGGGCGGCGCGCACGCGGCGCTGGCGGGCGCCGAGGAGGCCGCCGAGGACGAGCACGAGGACGGCCAGCAGCGACGCGAGCGCGATGCCGGCGTAGATCCCGGCGATGGCGCCCTCGGCCTCGGTGCAGATGTCGTGCAGGACCGACCGGGCGACGGCGGCGGCGTGGGGCGGCGCGGGCTGGGCGGGGGCGTCAGTGGCAGCGGGGGGAGGGTGTACTATGGGGGACGCACCATGGCGTTAGCGAGGGAGAGGGCGCACGCGAGCACGTGGAGCATGGCGGGTCGTGGGCAGAGAACTGGGGTGGGCCGCAGACTGCGGGGCGGGGCGTATAAATGCGCTGCGCGCGCCGCCAAGCGCGCGGATCCGCGGTGCTGGTGCAGTGCCACAGGCAGGGCGGGTTCCGCGGGCGAGCGCGCCAAGCCCCGTCCGCGGTGGCGGTCGACGTCAGCGTGCACGTGGATCCGGGCCTGGGGTGGGGCAGATGGGGCCCGGGCCCGCAGCACCACGCACCGTGCCCTCCGCAGTACAGCGCCTTCTGCAAGGCAGGGACTGGGACTACTAGTAGCAAAGGCGCAGCGGGGCGATTTGGGCATTGCTTGCGTCACCGATCGCCAAAGGATCGCCGCTGCCTTCGTCCCGACGGAAGGACCGTCCGGGCATTTTTGGCGCGAGAACATGTAGCGCTTCTATATCGTTGGCACGGCGTCAACGGCCCGGGAGCCCGGCCCGCCTTTGTGCTGCACGATCATCGCGGGAAACCTGGACTGAAACACGACACGAGAACGTCCCGTCCTCTGCAGTGCCCTAGCATGCCTGGATGCGCCAGGATGCACCTCGGAAACGCGGTTCGGCGTAAGGAACTGATGGGTGCCAATCATGCAGGCTGCAGCGCCCGTTTTGGGAATTGTCCCGAAGGCCTGACGCCCAGCGGCAATAACACGCGTATTTATACCCGGCGGTGCAAGGGTTTTTGCGCGAAGTCCTGTCCCCTCCTCAGGCTCGAACGCGCCCGGCCCACAGCCTAAAACTGCCAGCAAGCGCTCGCCACCATCGGCCGCAGGCTCATCCCCGCACTCGCCAGCGCGCACCCGCCCTCGACGCCCGCAGGCATCTGCGCGAGCGCGCACCTCAGCCCGGCCGCGAGCTGCGTCGAGCTCACTGGCGGCGACGCGCGCCGCATGCTGGCGGCCGTCGCCCTGCTGGAGGTGCTGCTCGCGCTGCTCGGCCTGCGCGCGGCGGAGCGGCTAGTGCTGTCCAAATATGATTATGAATACAAGATTTCCATAATATATTCATATTCATAATATATTCACCTGCCTCAGAGCATATTATATTCGTATTCATATTCATATTCATAATTGACGTAAGAATATGAATATATTATGAATATATTCGAATATATTCAACGAGCATGGGTCCGTACATAGCTCATGTAATCTACCTCATCTCCAAGTCCCTTCTTCAACCACTCCTTTGTGATGATTGTTCGTGTTGCCGTCTGCGCAGTCATAGATGCACGTGCGTCCGTCATGGTATGCTTGACGCTCGAGAACAAGCGTTCCACAGACACACTTACACCTGGGATTGCCAGAACATCCCGCGCAGCTGCGGCCAAGATCGGTAGGGTTTCCTCCATTTTCTATAGCAGGTTCAATAGAAGTAAATGAAACTGGAGAAGGTTACCTTCCACCATCCGAGAGCGTCATCATAGCCGGGAGCAACTGGTGATATATCACCAATATAGAGCTCGACTTCGGCCTTCCCGTCTGGGCTCGATATGGAGCTTGTTACGTGACTTGAACCCACTTTGCCGCCAAGAGCCATTGCCATTGCGAAGACCGACTCCGAAGATGTCTCGACATTGGCTTGTGGTACAGTCACGGTGTTGGTGGTCGATGTTGTTGTCCCTGGTGCCGAGCGCCGTTTTGCGTAAGTTTTTGCGATTGCAAGAAGAAGATTCTTGGCACGCGTGGCAACTGCTGAGTCCCACTGGCCGCTCTTGAAGTATACGACACGGATTTCTTCATGCGTTGGGAAGATGGGCTGTCCCTCGGTCGACAGCTTCGGTGACAGATATGTGGCCACGAGACTGACCCGCGTGCCGCTATGACACTCTGCCGGAAGATTGGTGATTGCTTCCAGCAGGTTTTGGAAGTGTCGGGCGGCAGATACAGGAATCGGCATGGTGGCAGGAGGCGGCAGTGATAGAAATTTTCCGGGCTGTCAAAACCTGTCAATGATGTATCTGAGAGGAAGATCCGACGTGTCCGATGGCAATAGTTCAAATCTTATCGTGCACCTAAGATATTCAAATATAATTGATTACGGGGGAGTCATAATATATTATATTCATAATATATTCATATTCATAATTGGGCATATTCAAGTTCAATGAATATGCGAGGGGCATATTATAATCATATTTATTTGAATATATTCAGAATATATTCTGCCATATTATAATTATGGACAGCACTAGGAGCGGCTCCTGCGCTGCGCCGTCGCGCGGCGGCGCACGCCCGGACAGCCGTCCGACCGCGACCGCGAGCCGGATTGTGTTCAACTTCCGAAGGGGAGGAGCCCGCACTTGGCCCGGGATGCGCATGCGGCGTGGCCGGGGGACGGGGAAGTGGGTCCGGCGCAATCAGCTGGCCGCGTCGCTGGCACTGCGCGCGAGAAACATTGATGATTCGTTTCCGTGTAGAAGCGCGTACGGACATTGTACTCGTAGGCTGGAGCAATCGTCGTTCACAACTTCCACTATGGGGCTGATTTAGGTGGGAATTCCACCCCTCTTAGGACATATTATTGATTTCCGCCTACTTTAGGTTGTATATAGGTCGATTGTATACTTCTCATTTCTGTGAAGATTTTATGATTTATTTTTTCAACCTAACATATAGGTTGTTTTTCATTGCTAACATCAACCAACAACCTAATTAGGTTGAAATTCTACCTACTTAGGTTGAATGGTATATATCTCTATCTATCACTAATTGATGTTACTTAATGTCATTTAACCTAAAGGAAGTCAAGAATCAACCTACAGGCTACAGATCATAGCCCACAAGCAGAAAACATTACAAGTCCTGAATTTAGGTAGATATGAAGGTAGATTTTCAACCTAAGGGTTAGGTTGAATCTTGGGTATTAGCATATATATGTAGTTCTTAGTACAAATCTTGTAACACTTGAAGTTATACCATAAGTCAAATAGTACTAGTAATATAACTTTTATTATTTCAGTTCTTTCTAATCTCTCTTAGTTTAGTGGTTAACTACTTATTGTAGTGTAAGTGCTAAGGCTGCCTGTTCAAATCCCAGACTTGTCATATTTAATTATATTATAAATGTTACCTATCTCTAGTCCAATATCTCTACAAATCTACTGAGAGTACTAGCAATCTGAAGTAATATATAGTAGTAAATATGAGATATCTTTTCATTACCAATTATAAAAAATCAACCTAAGAGCAACCTATCATAACCCTTATAAGCCTTAGGTTAAATTCGGCCGATTTAGGACGGTTTTCCACCCTCCTCTTAGGTTGAAATACCACCTTGCAAAACAACCTAAATAGGATGTATTATAACCTAAAGTAGGTATGTTTCCAGCCTATATTAGGTGATTCTATAGGTTGAAAACCAACCTAAATCTTCCCCATAGAGTTCGTCCGAGTTGTCTTCTGTTCATGGCCAAGTTTGTCATTCAGGTTACGCTGAGCCGGCGGCATCGGCCCCGTAAGTATCGTAAAAGAAACCGCTCGCCAAAGTCAAGCAACTGGAGGCGAAGAAGGGCGTTGCGGGCGGTCCGTCATGATGCCGCAGGCCGATGTCCGGGCGCGTACCGGAGTCCGGACCCCGCGCGCCGCCGCCGCCGCAGCTGCCAGTGGTCAGACAAGTGGTCATAAGTTGTGCCGACATGAAAGCAAGACGCGGGCCGTGACTGGGGTTCGGTTGTGTCTGAAGAATAATTTACATACATTGCCACGATGACAAGCAAATCGTGCTCTTGCCGCGACGTCTTGCTCAATGCGATAATGAATGGCGATACGATTTGCGTGAGGTGGCGGTTGCCTGTGTGCAGACAGCGCGCGAGGTCGTCAAGAGGCGAGAGAAGCAGGCAGCGGTGGATGATTTCAGGCGGTAGGTCGAGGAGTGTTTGAGAGGAGTTGCACGCGACATGGAAGAGCAAAGGAGAGGAGGGTGTGATGACATAACCAAACGTGCTCGATGAAAACAAGGCCGTGGGTTTGATTCCCACGTACTGCAGACTACTAATACTGTCCTATTTCGAGTAAGTGCTTGCCACTTTATCTGGGACTAAGAAATTGTCTTTCAATTTAATGTGATTTTGGAGTTTTTTGGCCAATATGATATTAATATGTGATATGGACAGCTGATCAAAATAAAACAGTATACCCAGAAATAAAGAATTGCATCATGTCACAGTCATACTGGGGAAATGGTTCCCTAAGAAGAATTTATATATAAGAAATAATGGTCCAAAATAATGGCCTTTTTCACTGCTTGTGTTTGATATGCAATAAAAGTTGCAAAAATTGTATCTGATTCACAAGAAATCAAGTGTTATATTGGGGTATTAAATAATAAATATCACATATATTATGACCACCCTGTTCCTGACCATGTTTTGTAGACAATAAGTGCCGTTTATTCAAGCCTAAATATTTGTTGAGAAAATACTGTCACAAGATTTGTAATATATAATGGCAATCTGTCACTTATTTTGGATATATAAATTGTCAGCTGACATTCTCTTTAAGTTGAATCCAATCTGATAACTCAATACATGCCCCAATTTATTACAAATCAAGTCTACTTTCCTGGAGTTTTATTTGTTATCTTTCCGAGGTTTTAATATATATATCCTTTTTGTCTACTATTTCTCATAAATCAATCCTACTTTTAGGCAACTGCATGGGTAAACCCCTGGGTTTTTTACGGCTACCCATACCCTTACCCGCACAGCCACCGTACCCGTACCCATGGGTACGGGTACAGGTTTACCCATGGGTAACTGGTTACTGATGGAGATGTATCAGAGAGTCGAACACAGAGCATCTCAAGAGGGAGACAGGAGTGAAACCACCTGAATCAGGAAGCGACGGGTAAGAAGAACCCTGGCAATCCCTTACCCGTACCCGTACCCGCACGGGTAAAACCCGCGTACCCGCACGGGTATGGCCTACCCATGCAGTTGCCTACCTACTTTAGGGCCATTTTTTGGCAGAAACCCCAGTTTGAGCTTGACTCGGGCTGTCAGAATTTGCCGACAACAATCATGTTCATTGTTTGCTCCTCCATGGACCATACAACAAGTCCCCTTTATGATAGACACTGTGACAATTGAATTTAAATCAAATTTAAATAATATTTTCTGTCTTTCAAATCCAGGTCACAAAAATGTATGGGTTTACTACAAAATTTCTAGGCCAGCAAAATCATTGAGAAATCCAAATTCCCACGAATGTCCTCCCACCTTAACATTTTTGAATCCCGACTGTAAGCTGGCTAGCTTGGGACATGTGACAACCAGGTCACATCAGTCATAAGTCACGTCGTCACATCACCGGGTCACATCCTGGTGTCACATTCCCTGACACGTCTATCTTTCACACCACCACATACTTCCGTCGTCGTTGCTTTCCTATTAGCTCGTCTAGCTCATCGAAGCATCGCGGCTCGCTATTGTATCTCCAGCGACTCCCAACCCTTAGTGAGAGTTGCCCCGTCTTCTCCGGAGTTTTGTGCTTTCAAGTTCCCAGCGGCTATTCTTAGCCATCGCGTTTTCCTTGGCTTCATTCTCGGACATTATCTTGGCTTCCTAGGTCGACGAGCCGGACCGGGCCGTCTGCAACCGTCGCCTGTGCGTCTATTTTTGTCTGCGATCGTGCGCGTGCACTCTCAAAACGCTATTTTTGTCCACAAACCAGTGCGTTCCAAGGCAGGAAAACTTGCCTACTTGTCGCTATCACAACGGTGCGCTATTGCACCTCTGGTGGGCTCTGTGGGCTGTACCAATGCATACCGCTTCTCACTATCGACAGAGCTCGAAAATCCTCCTGGTGCGACCATTTCAAGATGGGACGAACTCGGAGGAAAAACGCCAAGAGGTTGATCCGCAAACCTTCTACCTTCGCCTCTCCACAACAATCGTCAGTGCATAGTGTGCACGCGGAGCGCTCAGCCGCGCCCCGGACCGTTGGATACACCCTCGTCGAAGGGGTCGGGATCGTCTCGTGCCACACATGGAATGGTATTTAATGTCGCTCGAAGATTGGGTGCCCTCTCAGCCTTACAATGCCGTCGCTCGCCTCCCTTCTCCCATTTGCTGCAGTCCTCGCCTCCGGCCTCGCGTCTGCCGTCCCCAACAACGCGACGCTTGCCTCGAGGACCGATACAGCGAAACGCGCTACATGCACGGTCAACAGCGTTTCGAGCGCCTCGAATCTTTCGTCGTGCTCGACGGTCGTCATCACGGGTTTCACGGTTCCGTCCGGGCAAACGGTCACCATCGCTGTGCGTCGTCCTCCACCAGCCTATTTGAATGATATGTTGATATGGAGAGCAGGCGGCTAGCGGTGCCACAGTCACCATGACCGGGGATATAGTCTTCTCAAAGACAACGTGTAAGATTCATCATCGAAGCCATCCTCTACGGAAGCTCACCCTGTTGTAGCGGCGGGTCCCCTCCTCACCTTCGATACCCCTAACATCAATTTCAATGGCGGCACCCACAACATCAGTGAGCAGATTCCTATGCTTTCATCCACCAATTCATCTCATTCATCTCCAGATGGAAACGGCGCACAATACTGGGATGGCCAGGGCACGAACGGCGGTTCGACTAAACCGCATCCATTTGTCAAGTGCGTGTCGCTGCTCTGGACAATCGATATCCTAATTGTCTGCAGATTCAAGGGCTCCGGCACATTCTCCTTCGTGACCGTGCTTAACTCCCCCGCACAAGCCATCTCCGTCGGCACCTCAGGAACCACGGTCATCTCCCGCGTCACCGTCGACAACTGTGCGTATATCTCCTTTGCTGCATTGTCAATCTCAACGCTACATTGCACACAGCCGCGGGCAACTCCGGATCGCTGGGGCACAACACGGACGGGTTCGACATCTCCGCGTCGGACGTGACGCTCTCGCAGGTGACGGTGAACAACCAGGACGACTGCGTGGCGATCAACAAGGGCTCGAACCTCGTCATCGAGGACTCGACGTGCATCGGCTCGCACGGCATCTCCATCGGCTCGATTGCCGCAGATCACAGCGTGTCCAACGTCAAAATCGCGCGCAACACCGTCACCGGCGGGCTCTACGGCCTGCGCATCAAGGTCGACGCTGACGCGACGAACGCGAGCGTCAGTTCCGTTACCTATGAAGGGTGGGTTACTCCCTCTTGATCTGTCTGGCCAGCCGTCTGACGCGAAAAATATTAGAAACACTGTTTCCGGAATCACCGAATACGGCGTGCTGATCTCCCAGAGCTACCCCGACAACGACGGGACCCCGGGCACCAGCGCACCCATCTCGTGAGTGGCTCGTATCATATTTGGAGAATTTAAGCAATTAACCCCTGTGCAGCGGGATTGCGTTCACGGGAGGAACCACGTCCGTCTCCGTCGGCTCGTCGGCCTACACGCTCGTCGTCGACTGCGGCGCCTGCTCCGGCACGTGGAACTTCTCGGACCTGAAGGCGTCTGGCGGCAAAGGCCATATCCTCGCGCTGAACAAGGCCACGGTGGGGTTTTTCCTTATATTCATGTCGGTGGTGTTGACCGCGCTGGACAGATCTCCGGCGGAACGTATTGAGCCAAGTTGTATGAAACTTGAAGATGCATTTCGAGGTCGCAATGGATTGAAAAGGTCTATAATGTATAAAATTACATGTGAAATGAGTTGCCGAATGAATATACCTTTCTCTTTTCAAGTTCAACTGATCGCATAAACATAATACATATCAGGATCTATGTGTTCGGAGAGTAAACTCGAAGCTTGAAGAGACAGAATCTCCAACTGGTTCCACAACTAGAGATATTTTTCGAAATCTAGTCAGTCTGTATAGTAATTTGGCATTACTTCAAGTTATGGCATAGTTTGTCCTAAACCTTGGTTGAAACAATTCTTTGGAAACACTGTACCACCTAGGGTGCAGGATTTAAGTGGTGTTTCAAACCGCGTTTCGAAACAGCTGTTTCAAACCGCTGTTTTTAATTATTTCCAGAAAAAGTGCTGTTTTAAAACACATGACCCGTGGGAAAAATTAGGCAATTCACTGGTTATAGACAGACTTTGGCTCATGCTGTAGCAGCTATACTTACAGCTATAAAGGTAACATCCTAATCAACTATTGTTACTCTCCATTTAATGTCACTGGAGGTCTTTTAAAGGCTTCAAGTGTTACCGTCACATCAGTGATAGGGTCACACCATATACAGACAACACAGAATATAACTTAGGATAGCAAGGGGTACCTTGAAAGCTTGAGAAATGGTGTAAAAGAACAAGTGAATACATATGCTAGCCCAAAAAATGATTCAAAAGGTCAAAATTGCCATTTTAGGCAATTTTAATCAATCCCTGTTTGCAAACTGGTTTCAAAATTGCTGGGAGTTCAAACCGGTTTTAATAACCCCCCATAATTCAATCCTGCACCCTAGTACTACCACCCATACATCATAATACACTGGCATGTACATGTGTAAACTATATCCCCTATAGAGCCAATCGTCATGCCTCAGGCTTCCTTGTGATATCACGAGAAGTAAAACTGTGGCTACAAGATAGAACAACAGATTACAAGAGAACAAATCATTTGGCTTCCTCGTGGCTCTCGCTCGCCTTCTCGTCGCGTGATCGGCTGCCGGCGGCGTCGAATTCTGTGTCTTGCATCAGCACCTAGTAATAGACATAACTTATACGCACGGTCGACCTTCGCGCTCTTGAAGCGCCACGCGGGGACCCTATTTTCGAAGAGCACGTCGAGCTCGCCGTACGAGCGGTTCGCCGCTGTTGTCCACGGTCAGCCTGAGTCACGCGACAACACTCCAGACAATTACTCACTCTCTGGGAGGCGGAACCAGCAGTACACCGCGCTAAGCGTCGCGAACACGAACCAGAATATGCCGCTCTTCGGGCCCCAGTTCCACGCCGCGGGGCTGAGCATGCGCGGCACGATGATCCCGCAGATGATGTTCATCACCTGGTACGCGCAGCGCGCGAGCACGATCGTCTTCGCCCGCAGCCGCGTCGACCCGACCTCCGCGATGATGACGTAGCACCCCGCGCCGAGCGTCGCGTTGTACACAAAGTTGAGCGCGATGAGCAGGCCCCCCGAGGCCCACTTGGCGCCTTCTGATGGGTGGAACCCCAGCGCGCCGATGATCGCCAGAACGACCGCCATGGCGGCCAGCCCGGAGATGTACAGCGCCCGTCTGCCCACCCGCGCGAGGATGAACCAGGAGGCAACGGTGCCGATGATGAACATCGAGTTCAACGCCAGGTTGACGTCGAAGGCCGCGGTCTGGCCGAGGCCTGCTTGCACGAAGCTGCGGTGCCTTAATAACAGGTCACTGGGACAAACACACTCACAATTGCACACCCTGCCCAATCAGGTTCTCCCCGCTGAGCAGCTGGATCGCAAACACCATCATCGCGATCTCGGTCCGGCGCCGGTCGATCCCGCTGAAGCACTGCAGGTACGACGTCCCCGCCTGCATCTCGCGCTCGATCGCCGTCGTGTGGATCATGTTCGCCACGGACCGCTTCGCGTCTTCTTCCGAGTACAGCTCATGGTTCGTCAGCCGTCGTACTGACTTTTCTGCATCGGCGTGTCTCCCTGCAGTATGTGTCAGCAAAAAAAACTGGCAGGATTAACAGACCGACCCTGCCGGACGAGCCACCACGGGCTCTCTGGCGCGAAATAGGCCCCGAGGATGAGCGGGACGGGCCACACCCACTGGATGACGAACGGGAGGCGCCAGCCCCAGTCGGACTCGATGGTGATGCTCGCGCGGACGACGCCAGAGGAAAGGAAGATGCCGATGCCCCAGCACATGTTGATGTACGCCGTGAGGTAGTGCCGCAGCGCAATAGGGCACACCTCGCTTGCGTAAGCCGTGGTCAGCGTTTGGAAGACTTGTGTCGTTAGTACTTATACTATGGAGGGGGATAAAGCCACACACCGCCCCAGAAGAGCCCGCAGATGACCTCGCTTGCGACGAGGGCGCCTAGAGTCTTGCTAAAGACCGGCCCGAAGATGGAGACGATCATGCCGAGCATGGAGACGATGTATGTCCTGCGCGGGCCAAACTTCTCACTCGCCCACCCGTTGATCATCAGCCCTATAATCCCCCCCACCGAGGACCCGTTGCCCAGGCCAGACTGCCACGGCGCGGGGATAAGCCGCCGCTTCGCCGTTTCGTCGTATATCCCAAACCGGTTAAGGAAGGCGGGGTGCTCGTAGAACGAGGCTATCTGAAGGGGTGTCAGTGGTGAATAATAGACAGTTAAAGATGGAAGATAACGCACCACGACGACATCATACCCCTCCATAATCAACGCCGCGCTCAATACCACGCTCCAAAAGACAGCCTTCTTGTGGATGCGGAAGGCCTCCCGCAGCGTCTGCTTATGCTCCGCCTCGTCATTCGCCGCGGCGCCCTTGACGACCTCCGCATAGTTGTCGATTTCCAGTTGCGCATGGGTGTGCAGCACGCCAACGGCAGGGTCTTCGCGGTCGCGCTCGAGTGAAGCCATAGTCGCCCACGGGGGGAAAACGGCCCCACGCCTGCATTTTAACAGGACAGGCCGACTGCACGCGCGTCGCATGACTCTATTATGCGGGCTTTTGTCGGAAGCACCACCCGCGGGCCGGGGAGGGGACGGCCCGCGGAAGCGGATGGTGGTGCCTGACTGCCAGAAAGAGACGTCCTTCGAGAAGCCATACAGAGCTGTTGCGCAGGGCCTGCAGAGCTCTCTTCGTCGTTTCCGCACAAGTACGGCAATCCACCGCGAATGAAGCTTCAAAGCTGGCCCTGCGCTGTCCACCGCAATGGCGAGTTGTCGGGCTTTCCGCTCGCTTGCGGGCATACACTGGACATCGCCGCTCACGCGCCTCGCGCAAGAAGCAAGCGGTCTGTGTTCGTGGGCAAGTTGTGGGAGGAACCAAAAAACGAGGTGATTGACAACCGTGCGCCATCATTGCCGTTTTGAGATGCACAGCCTTCTTCACCTTCTGTTTCCACTGCCGCCTCTATCTTTCAGTGCCAGTTCGATGGGGACGAGGCGGGTAGGGTGTGCTGTCGGCTTACGGCTCCAAGGCTGTCAATGACAGTAGCAGTAACTCGTGCAAGGCTCCATCTTACGCGAAGGCTTCTAGCTGTGGGGACGATGAGGGACGATTCAGTCTTGGATTCAGTGGCCCAATTCAACGATGCGTCGGCGAGCGCCGAAGTGGGACAGGATTTATGTTGCGGTTTCTGTCGCATAATACATACGCTACGGGCGACATGCGGGGTTACGTGGGACGAGCGAGCTGTTATTGGGGTCGTAGCGCGATACTCACGGATTACTTGGGGCTCGCTCGGTAAAGGGCAAGGCTTCGAACGCAGATGAACTTGAAGCCGCAAGCCTTGACGAGTGGCCCCATCTTCTCTGCTCATTGCCACATGATCCGGGAGCGTCGCGGCGTCCTCCAGGCTCCAGATCTGCTTCTCAGGCATACTGAGAAGTACATTGGAAGTACATATGCTTCTGCCCATCCCATCGCCATCATCTTCTTGCTGCTCGAGAATCAGCAACGTTTCACGCCCCTCTTGGCAGCGTGGTGAGCGGATCAGCGCCTCCCAATTGTGCCTTGACATTGCGCGTCTCTGTGGGCTGCTTCCTGGGTCGTGCTGTTCATACACAGCTCAGAGTTTGTTCACACAGGGCCCTACATTGCGCAATGCGTCCACCACGCCTGCGCCTGGAGGCAGGCTCAGGCTCCGCTGCCACATGCAGGCCGATCGGTACCCGGCTGCCAACTGGCGGCTGCTTTAGTCTTTTACCCCCGTCACATCCCGCCATCCCGCCCTCCGCGGCCGCCCTGCACCGCCCCCATTGACAGTCCCCGCCCTCCGCGGCGCCGTGCGCCTCGCTCCGCGGCCGACGCACAGGTAGGGCACGAAAACACCGTCCTTCTCTGGCCTTTCAGCGTCACAGCGTACGTAATGTCAGAGAAGAACCCGGCTGGCTCGCTTGCGGTCGACATGTACGGCAGGCCGCAAGATATCGCGACAGAGTACTTAACTTAGTAAGTCCGACCCGACATACTAGAGCTGAGCGAAGACTGCGCCCTCCCGCGCCCGCTGGTCGCTGCGGAGGACCCTGCGCCTGCGCCTGGGCCAGCAGCCCGTTCAACCGTTGAAGTAGGTGGTGGCGTTGTCGCCGCGTGATTCAGGGGCGACGATCTGCGGTAAGCATCAATCAGTGACGTGACGGTCACACCGCGGAAATCAGCACGCCTGACGGGGCTAGAAGCTTCCCAAGCTCGGCTCGCGATTCGATTCGATTTTTGTTTTTCCCGATTTTTTTTTTCTTCGCTTGCCCCATCCGCATTGCATCGCGCGTGCGGGATGGGTGTGCGTATATAACGGGGCGGCGGCGTACGGAAGCGGCCACCTTTCCGTGCCCCCTTTCCCTTCTTCTCTTCTTTTCCTCCCCCCACGATGTTCATCGAGCCACTCAGCCTCCACACGTACGTCCGCTCCGCCCCGCCCCGTGTGTTTCGTGTACTACGCTGACTCATTGACGCAGCGAGCCTGGCTTCGAGACACTGCAGCTGCATGGCGGGCAGAAACCCGACCCAAATACGAAGGCCCGCGCAGTCCCCATTTTCCAGACCGCGGGCTACGTCTTCGACGATGTCGCGGTGTGTCTCATCATCTTGTTTTTGCTTCTCCCGCGTTGGCTGATGCTCTGTTGTTCCGGACAGCACGGCTCCGCGCTCGCCTCGATGAAGTGGGTGCCCCTGTCTGAGTCCCTGTCTCTCCTCGGCTGACGTGAACACAAAGGACAACGGGCTACCTGTACAGCCGTGTGGGCAACCCGACAATGTCGGTCTTCGAGGACCGTGTAGCGATGCTCGAGGGCGGTGTTGCGGCGGTTGCTGCCTCTTCGGGTCAGGCCGCGATTACGCTGACGATTAGCGCCCTTGCGCAAAGCGGGGACAACATCGTGACTGCGTGCGTGTCCTGCCCCTGTGTTCCTGCCCCCGGCTAACCGGTTGCAGGTCCCGATTATATGGAGGGGTGCGTGTTTTTTTTTAATGCAGAGAAACCCGGTTGACACGTGTGCGATAAGACGTATAATCTGTTCAAAAGTGCGTGCCCGCCTCATGTTTATACGACATACTGAAGGGACCTAGCTACCCTGCGCAAGTACGGCATCACATCCCGTTTCGTGGAGACATACGACCCGAAGGACTTCGCGGCGCAGATCGACGAGAAGACGAAGTGCATCTACGTCGAGATCATCACCAACTCGGACGGCACGCTGACCAACGTCCGCGCGATGGCTGACGTGCGTGGCATTATTTCCTGTTTAGTTCCTGCTGATGTCTCGGTAGCTCGCGCACCAATATGGCTTGCCGCTAGTCGTGGACAGCACGTTTGCGATGGGCGGGTACATCATCCGGCCGATCGACCACGGCGCGGACATCGTCATCCACAGCGCCACTAAATGGCTCGGCGGGCACGGGACGACGATCGGGGGCATCCTTGTTGATTCGGGCAAGTTCGACTGGCGCAAGTCGGACAAGTTCCCGTCGATCACGGACCCGTGCGCGAGCCAGGACGACACGATCTTCGCGGAGAAGTTCTACCCGGCCGGGTTTGCGATGTTCATTAGAGCCGAGCTCCTGCGTGACATGGGCCCGTGCATGTCCGCGATGTCCGCGTTCCTCGTCCTACAGGGGCTCGAGACGCTCTCGCTCCGGGCCCAGCGCCACTGCGACAACGCGCTTGCCCTGGCACAGTACCTCGACGCGCACCCGAAAGTCACGTCCGTCTCCTACTGCGGGCTCGACACGCACCCGTCCCACCAACTGGCGCTCAAGACGCTCCGGCCCGGGTGCTACGGCGGCGTGATCACGTTCACCGTCGCGGGCCGGCTGCAGAACGCGATCACGTTCCTCGAGAGCCTCAAGCTCGCGAGCCACCTCGCGAACGTCGGCGACGCGAAGACGCTCGTCATCCTCCCGTTCGTCACCGTGCAGGCGCAGCTCTCCGAGGACGAGCGCATCAAGAGCGGCGTCACGCCCGGCCTCATCCGCATGAGCGTCGGCATCGAGTCGATCAAGGATATCATCGGCGACGTAGAGGCTGCGCTGAGGATCACGTTCGAGGGGCAGGACGCGGAGTAAGCAGAGAGAGAGAGAGGGCGAAGGTGTGTTGTTGTAGAGTTTCCTGCTGTGTACCATGTTATCTAGGCTTGCATAATTTTTTTCTCCTTCCCCGGTGTGTATGGTTGCAACGAATTGTACAGACCTAAATATATACTGTTTCCTCGCGGAGCAGTTGCGAGATAAGTTAAACCCCAAGCTATCTAACTTGACTAGTGAAGCTGGCAGAGTTCTCACTGCGGGAGTTGGCAAAGAAACAACGCTAACGGATCGATTATACATACACCTAATAAAACTTTTTCTCAACCGTAAAATATTTAATCCCAGTGGGTGAGAAGATTTCGACTCCCAATATGGAGCAAATTGAGCTGCCCGTTTCGGTCTGATAGAGCCCTGATTTGCTTCCGATCTGGCCCAAAGTCCTGATGTTTGGTATGAAGTCTAAGTTAAGAATATAATCGATTGAAACACCCCCTGTTTATTTACAGTACCAACTCTTGCAGTGTCTGCTACTAGTTGATAGCAAATGTGCAACGCAGACCACTGTGCTTGCTACAGGGCGTGCCAGTGTCCATCAGCCCAGGCCGGAGTATCTCGATCTCGAGCGGCTGTAGGCCGAGCATGCCGATCTTCGCAAGCCGAAGAGGCCGGCCGGGACCGGGACCGCCGTCCGCCTTCTCCTGTAGAGCGACCCACGCATCTACAAGGCCGTTACTTTCAATTATGCCCTCCTCGCCGGGCCGCCGGGCATTGAAGTCACCCGCGACGAGCCCCGCGCGGCAGCCCGGCTCACGCAGCAGCGTCGCAGAGGCGTTCACCTCTAAGCAACGTCGCATTTCGCTCTCCCCCGGGTCGAGGTGCACGTTCAGCAGCCGCAGCCCGCCCCCCGGGCCCGATTCCGGCCCGGTGGCGACGTCCACGCAGAGCACGTCGCGGTTGTCCCGGCTGAGGAAGTCGGCACGGAAGACGTTATCAACCGCGAGTCTGCCGCCACCCGTGCCGAAGCGCCGGCGGGCAAGCAGCGTCAGCGTTGAGAACAACGGCCGCACACCGCTGTAGCTGGGGCTAGGGCCCGGCGGCCGCGGGGGGTCCCCCACGTTTGTCGCCAGGTACCCCGCGCGCACCGCCGGGTGTTTTAGGAGCGTCTCTCGGGCGCTCCCGCCGACCTCCTGAAGGAACACGATGTCGGGGGCGGCGCCGGCGAGGATGTCGTCGAGGATGAGCCCGGCGCGCGTGCCACCCGGAGGCCACGCCTGGATGTTCCACGTTGTGAGCGAGAGCGTCTGACCGGCGACGGTCGGCGAGGCTGAGTGGGAGGGGCTATGGGCAGGAGCGGCCGCTGCCGGGGACTGCTGCCGGCGAAGAGGCACGGTCGTCCATTGATTGCTGGCGCTGCGGAACACCGACAGCGTGCGGGGAACTTTGTTCAAGAGGCCACCTATGCCAGTCATCGTGGGTGGTGGCACAGAGTAACCGTGATACCAATCGGATACGTTATCCGGTGCCCCTGAGTTGCATCAGCATTTCCTCCTATTTGGTGCCAATTTTGGCTAGATACCTATGCTGTGGGCCTTGGATGAAAAATAAATTCATTGCCAAAAAAGGAAAAAAGGAAAGAGAAGGAGAGGGAAAAGAAGAGTTTTTGAGTGGACTATGAGCTTAAGGTGAGGCCACTATGCATAGACCATCTGGAAGAATTTATTCTGCATTTTTATGTATTTTTTTGGCGCGCCTGCGGCGCACTAAGTGTTGTGCAGGGAAATTACCCAATTATTGCCTTTTGGGGCACTATCTACCGGGTAGGATACTGCCGGGTCCGCGCGTCATGTGATTCAGATAGCTCTGACCCCATATGGTTTTTTTTGCGGCCGGCCTACGGCCGGCAGGATCAAACACGACCAAGCATGATGTGACATGCTACCTGCGATAAGTTGTGTTGCAATACACTGTAATGTTCCTCAGTATATAGATTCATGAGCATGTCAGGGGAACCTCCCTTTCGGCCCGGAGACGCGTCCGATTCCGGTCCGATTCCGGTCCGATTCCGGTTCCGACTCCGGTCCGGCCCTCCATCTCGCCCGCACAATCACTGATCCATCAACGCCCTCCCGACGGTCGCCCTGGGACCTCGCCTGCGACACCGCCCAAGCCTTCTGTGCCCGACAGCGGCAGCTACAGACAAGCAGTATATAGTCAGCTCCCTAGCAGGCGGACCCTTAGAGTTTCTTCTCTTTGGATCCTCCCCTGCTAGGTCAGCTTCATTTGTATTCGCTTACCAATGTTCACGCTTTGGATCCTCCCCTGCTAGGACCTTGATCTCAGGCCTCCGGGGTTGCCCTTACAGAGCACTTAACAAAACTGAAGGTCTATTGTGAGATTCAGCACTATTGAAACTGCCCCTCTATTTTAAATTCTTGTGAAAAACAAGATTTCACACCACTATTGTCAAATTGAATGTGAATGAGTGAATGAATCTCTTAGAAATTTTATGCTATGGGACAGGTATGCTATCTAAACTATTCCTCTAATTTTCAGGCCAGACTATGAAGAAATGAAGCTGCAATGCACCAGAGGAGATTTCAATCATTAACTCCTTCCCAAATGTGTGACGATTCAGATAGCGAGGTATCTGCCCACTAGTAACTAGCCCCAATTTTGGCAAAATGAATCTACTATTCATACATGGCACTACCAATGCACTACACTCAAGCCTATGCACAGTGCTGTATTAATCTACCTCAACATGCTGTCAACAGCACACTATATGTTCAATAATCTACTGTAGCATACTTTTTTAAGGCTGAAAGCAAGCTGAAAGGGCGCAAAAAGTAACTATTTTCTTTCTATTCAAATGAAATACTGTAGTATTTTATTACTCTTCTCATAAATGATGGCATTCTGGGAAAAAAAATCTGTGATAGCTAGGCCGGTGAATGGAATTGAGTCATATTTTGTTTTTCCAATGCTTTCAAATTTTCGTATGCAATGTCACACCCAAAATGGCATTCAAATTGAGTAAAATAGTACAGTACTGTACCAATCCGACCACAAGTTCAGTGGGGCAAACACATAACCTATTGAACTTGAAAGGTAACAAGTTCATCAGTGATAGAATTACTAATCTATATAACGCGGGCTGGCAACAGCTGGCCGCAAAATTTTGATATATTATTGCCTACATAGAAAAATCTAAATTGATGATAGTGTCATGGATAAGACACGGCCCATCCACTCCGGCGCAGGTGTCGGGCCACTGCGGGCCTGCAACACACGGCATGTGACAATGGGGAACAGATGCCCCAGTAGGAGGAATGCACATGTGGGAAGCACGTGACTGAGAACAACGTGTTGAGCCGTCGTCAAGCCCAACTACTCTACACAAGGGGACTGGGGAGAAGTGCTAGGAGGTTATGAGTAGTGCTTGGCCCGCAAGGGATGTACGATCATCCCCTCTGCGGCCAGGAACATGGGGGAGGAGGAGCAGGAGAGGCCAATGGTGTTCAATTACCCGTCAGCAGGCCCACATATATAAGGCATGATAGTGTACACTGTACCCTATTGCTCAGATCATCTATTGTACTGCTTCTCTCCATGCAGGGAGTACTAACGACTTGTCAGGCCCAAAACGACCTGATTCAACCCCAACACCAACTGCGACAAGGGATTCTACCTGCTCACTCCGCTTGTGGGCCCTTACACTGAGGAAATACCTTAAAATATATAGTGACCCCAATACAGACCTAACAAATGTAGAGGGGTAGTCTAAGATCCTTTTTCATATATTTACTGGTTAAATATAGCCTGCCCACCACTGGCATACTATACTATTTTATTCATTTCCTCAGTCATGCGGCACACCCCCCTGCTGATCTGACAAATTTTTTTTTGTTGGTCACAGGGGTTTTTTTTACACTAAGGAAATACCTTAAAATATATAGTGACCCCAATACAGACCTAACAAATGTAGAGGGGTAGTCTAAGATCCTTTTTCATATATTTACTGGTTAAATATAGCCTGCCCACCACTGGCATACTATACTATTTTATTCATTTCCTCAGTCATGCGGCACACCCCTGCTGATCTGACAATTTTTTTTTTGTTGGTCACAGGGGTTTGATACAGCCAACAAAATGGCCTACATAGCTGATGGCAGCCGAGGTCAAAGGGCCGTGGTCTCTATACAACAAAAAATTGGCTAACAAATTGAATGAAATAGTACAGGATCAATCTGATCCAATCAGCTTAGTCAATATGCAAGCCCCTACCTTGCTCATAGTAGAGTGCAGTTTTTGAATATTTGAGTATTAAAAACGGTTTATAATTTTTGGTATCCCAAACTAGTGTTTATAAACTGGTTTATAAACCAGGCAACCAAACATGTGATATTTTTGACGTCACAATATAAATTTTTGTAGCCTTACATCCTAGCTGAAAGGGTTGCCTTCATATCTCTTTAACCTGTGATACAGGTGATAATAATGTTGATCAGCTGGCAGTAGTTGGATCACTTAAGTCACGTGACTAGTGACGTGCTTGCTTGCCAAAAGACAAACTAGGACTAAGTGTGCAAGGGCCTTCAGAGCTAACAAACTCCTCAGGAAACTCAACACCAAGAACTCAAGAACTCAAGAGAGAACTCAAACTCAGAAGGGCAAGGGGGGGAAGTAGCTCTGGGGGAGGATGATGCTAACTACTAGCTATGGACAGGCTTTTTATAGACTAGATAAATAAGGGCTAAATGAAATAGAAACTAAAATCAAATGGAAAATGAGCAACAAAGTCAGGAAAGATAGGGAATGGAAACTAAGGTAGGAAATGGCAACTAGAAAAGGAAGTGGAAACTAAACTAGGAAATCAAACTGTGTGACAAAGTGTGACTTGTGACGTGCAAGGCTCGTCACTAGCCGGGTTTATGAGCCAGAGACCTAGTGAAATCTTTCTAAACCAGTGTTTATAACCACTGGTTTATAAACCGGTTTGTAAACCCGATCGAGAAACTGCACCCTAGCTCATAGCTCTCCTAGCACTCCTCCCCATTCCCCTGTTGCTGGGAGTTAGGCTCGGCGTCAGGGCCGACATATTGTTCTTGGTCATATGCTTCTTATATATTTGTTACTCCTTCTCAGGTACCTGTTCCCCACATGTACTGCATTCTGCAAGCCCTTGGTGGCCTCAGATGACAGCAATGACTCCAACATGAAGGTTCTAGGAGGCTGACCAGTAGGCGGACTGTCTGACCATGACATACATGATAATGGCCTACTTAGGCAGGTGTTGCAGAGGGTGCAGACTAGGGTGCAGGATTTAACTCTGGATTGAATCCCCATTTCAAAATAGCTCTTTTAAAATACTGTTTTAAATTCTTTAGGCAAAAGCACTTGTTTTGAAATAGCAAGGGTGTGGGAAAAGTCAGGGTGCAGACTTTCAAAAGGGGGGAAATATGATATCCATGATAGGATAATATGAGTGAAAACCAACTTAATACGCAAATTTATATTGAGAGGTACTAATGAGGGTTATACAATATCAGTAAGTGGACTTTGGGGGTAAAAACTAGAGCCCCAAATTGCCCTTTTAGGCAATTTAATACATCCCTGCTTTGAAACTGGTTTTAAATGCCCTAGGTATTAAAAACAGGATGTAAATGTGGTATTTTAATCCTGCACCCTAGCACTGCAGACCAATCATGGCCTGCCAGGCTCTTGTAAGGGGAGCATGTGATGTGACAGCTGTGACTGATCACGTGACTGGTCCGTGCGCAGATAGCCCTGTACTTAAGTAGTTGGCTGTGGGGCTGTTCCCCCGGCTTTGGTATCAACTAGGCACCTGGACCCTCATCCCCTGACAGCATACCAAAGCCTCTATATCGACTCTGGCACTCTTCTAGCCCCAGTTGATCCTCTCTATCTCCTATATTCGTCCTCACCCTACTGTGCTTGCCTTCTCTCCTCCAATGACGACTCCCGGCGTCTCTGTTGACCTGTATTCGTACTGCCTGCTTCTGCAGAGCGAAATTACTCGCCTCACCGACCGTCTCGACCGTCTTGAGTATGGTACGCCTGCTCCACCCCCTGCTCCCCCTTCCCCTGGTCCTACATTCCATGGTGTCTGGGACGGCAGTCGCTGGGTTCTTCCAACGATCCCGGCCCCTACCCCTGCCGTCATTGCTGCGGCCCACACTTCCATACCACTTGCCGAAACCTTCCCCCTACTGCGCCCGACACTGTCACGCGCTTCTCTTGTACGCTTGTGGTGCCTGACTCGGCTGTCGGGCATATCGTGGGTCGCGGCGGCAAGGGTCTCCACCAAGCTCACGACACTTCCGGTGCTCAGTTGCGCGCGTACTCTGATCGCGCTGCGCCTGGCAAGCGCCGGGTCTCTATCCGGGGAACCGACCAGCAAATCGGTGAAGCGCTTATCGCGCTTGGGAAACGGTTCATGCGCAAGCGTGTCCGTGCGAAGAAGCAACGTCAGCCACCGTCTGCTGAGGGACCTGCCCCCCTCCTCCTGCCGCGCCTGTGCCTGTACCACGTGCCACGAAGATGGATGTCGACCGTGCCCCTCTGCACCGCTCGTCCACCGTGATCCACGCCCAGTCTCAGGTGCCCCGCCACCACTGCGGTTCGATCTGCCACTCATCCGAGGGCCTCGGCCGCTGGTGGGCCAGCTGGGCATTCGCGACTGTCTTCCCCCCTCTTCCCGTCTTCTCTACCCCGCCAACCTGCCGCCGCCACTACCCCACCTATGCAGGCCGCGGCACCATCTCTTCCTACCCCCAGCCTTACCCTACTCCCTTCGCACCCTCGGTGGTTATGGCCACTCCGTCGGGCGCTGACCAGCGCGTCACCTACCCCGATCGGCTCTCCTATGCAGATCGACGTAGCTCACGCCCGGCCGCGTAACCGGCAGACTGCCCGACGAGGGGGCGTACCTGCGCAGTCATCGCGCGTCATAGGCGACAACCTCTATTTCCCTGGCGATCCCGAATATGAGTTCGCAGAACCCTACACTCCGCCTATCCGTCGAGGCGACGGATCTTGAGGAGGGGTTGGTGTAAGGGGAGCATGTGATGTGACAGCTGTGACTGGTCTGTGCGCAGATAGCCCTGTACTTAAGTAGTTGGCCGTGGGGCTGTTCCCCCGGCTTTGGTATCAACTAGGCACCTGGACCCTGATCCCCTGACAGCTCTGGCCTGTTCCGCTCTAGTCGCTCCAGCGACCTTATACTCTGTATATCCTCTTGTTTGTCATTTTCCATATGTACTCCATACATTGTACTTACTTATGGTCTTCCCTTTCTACATATGCTTCTCTCTCTCTAGTATTTGACAAGTAGATCCCTCACTTTCCCTGCCTTGAGCGTGACAGGCTTGGCTTGCTGGCTACCAACAACTCTCGCAACTCTTTTTGGGGGCATTGCAGCTCAGCTGATTGTCCTTCAGTTGCTGTGTACAGTTTACACAGAGGAGACACTGCAGATGGAGTTGCTTAACACCACTTATAGTGATGAAGAGCCTGACAACAGTGAACTGGAGGGCTCAGGAGATGAATTTCAGCCATAGCCTAATTAGGAAATTAACCCTTAGAATTACCCTTAACTTAACCCTTAGGATGAGTAAAGCCCTTCATATCAGCAGGAACCATTATTAACCCCTTAGATTGGAACACTGAGTGTCACACCCCCATGACTATTATAATTCTCAATGATTTTGACTAAGACATGAACGGATTTAATCTGAAAACTGCTACTTAGATTGAGGCAACTGCGACGATGGCTGTTTCATGAGCCTGTATACCAATTGTATCCTCTTGGACCTCCGTATTAATTTCCGCCCTTCAAACCCGGAGCCATCCGATGGAACATGATGCTTCTTGTACTTTTTTTTTTTGGCTTGACGCCGAGTACATCGTGGGAGCCCGCGCGTGCGTGTGTCGATGCCGTCGGCGGACTTGTCGAGAAGTTGATGCAGCGTGGTGATTACCACTGAGGCTTACGCGATCGAGTATATAGGTGACCGCGGACAGGGTACATCACGTTGCGGGATTCGGGAAGTTACAGTAGTCGTGGCCATGAGTGGAGCTTCCCGCCTCGGACGAGAGGAAGACAACAAGTTCTTTATTTCGAGCAGAAAAGACAAGAAAAAGACGAATCAGAAAAAAAGAGCACAGAAGACGCGCTTGATTGCCGATTGAATACACGGCAATCACCCGCCCTGACGACGCCTCTTGTCCGTTTCCATTTTCGTCGACAGTTTGTGCGGCTTGCCGGCAATGAGGTGGCCACACAGCTGCGCCGCGCTAAGTAGCAATGTGGGTGACGGTGACGGTGACGCCCCCGCGCTCCTCTCCCGCCGACCACCATGTCCCTCCTCGCGCAGCTCCCCCTCCCGCTCGACCGCGCGCGCCTCGACGCGATTGTGGACTCAGTGTCGCCAACAGCGGCATCTGTTGTCGCTGGACTGGCTGGTGTGTACCTGTTTGTTCGGTGGAAGACCTCCGGGGTGCGTTTTCCTTTCCCCCTTTCCCCTCATCACCACTGATGAATGGCCCCGCAGCTCGACCATGTCCCGGCGATGGGCCCAACGGGACTGTTCACGTCATACCTCGGCGCGCAGGAGTACCTCAAAAACGCGCCGAAGGTAGTCCAGCGGGGCTACAACAAGGTGCGTCTTCGCTTGACGCCGATTCTGGCCGCTGACGTCGAGTAGTACAAGGACGGGGTGTTCAGGGTGCCTTACTACGATAAGTGGGTCGTTGTCGTTGGCTCGCAGCGCCTTGTACATGACCTCCGCACCTCCCGCGATGAGGACCTTTCCGCCATTCTCGGCTTCGGCGCGGTCCGTCCGTTTCCCTGCTATCCATGATCTAGCTTATGGGCAGATATTCGCCGCAAAATGGACCCTTGGCGAGTCGTTCGTGACGAACGACTATCACACCAAGGTTATCCAGTCTGCCATGACGCGTAGCATCTCCGACCGTTTTGCCGACGTAAAGGACGAGGTCGCCCATGCCTTCCGCGACGAGGTCCAGTTTGCGGACGGCCAGGGTGAGCTACGGTGTCTGCTACGTGCGCTCTCTGCTAAGTGGCTGACCATTTGGCAGAGTGGGTAACATTGCCCGGACTGGCGACGACGCTCCGTGTCATTTCCCGTGCTAGCAACCGGTTGTTCGTTGGGGCGCCTCTATGTACGCAGCCCTCTCTTTCTTTGCTTCAGTCTAACTCAACCGCTCTAGGCCGGGACCCGGACTACCGGGACCTAATGGTAAACTTTGCCATTGGTGCGATGAACAGCGCAAAGAAGATCAACCTTTTCCCCCATTGGCTTAAACCGTACGCCCCTGCTCTACCCTTATCCGGTTTACGATACTAATACATTTTCTATTTCTATTTTTACCTTTGTAGAATCGTGGGCCCGTTCATCACAACGCTCCCGCGCGATCTCGAGCATGCAAAGGCGGCATCTCGGCCCGCTCATCGAGGAGCGCCTCAGGCAAGACGAGAAGTACGGCCCGACCTGGCCCGACCGTCCAGTGCGTTAAACCTATTGTAAAGGTTGCGGAGCTGATAGCCCTAGAACGATTTGATATCGTGGCTGCTTGAGCACGCCCCGCCGGAGGAGCGCAACGCGCATGAGATAACCCGGCGCATGCTCATGGTCAACTTTGTTGCGATCCACACCTCGGCCAACGTCTGTCTCCCCACCATCTCCCAACCCAACTGACACTTCAGAGCAGAGCTTCACACAAGCCTTATTCCATCTCGCGCATGAGCCGCACTATGCTGGCCCGCTGCGGGAGGAATTGGCGGCGGCGGTCGCGGAGGACGGGTGGACGAAGACGGCTATGAGCCGGTGTGTGAAGCTCGACAGCTTCTTGCGCGAGTCGCAACGCTTCAACGGCGCCAGCGCTAGTGTGTGTTCCTTCTCATCAATTCCCTATCCTAACCATATAAGTCAACATTAACCGGATCGTCGTGAATCCGAACGGCTTCACCTTCTCGGACGGCACGCACCTCCCGCAGGGCACGTTCCTGGCCGCGGCGACACACGCGACCCACCACGACGGCGACAACTATACGGACCCGGACGTGTTCGATGGGTTCCGGTTTGCTGACATGCGCGGCGCCGGCGAAGACAGGGGCAGCATCAAGCTGCAGATGGTCGCGCCGGATGTGAAGTACCTCAGCTTTGGGCTGGGGCGACACGCGTGTCCCGGGGTGCGTCTATCTTTTCTTTTCTCACTGGCGCTAACGGGCAGCAGCGCTTCTTCGCGGTGAACGAGCTGAAGCTGATGCTCGCGTATGTGCTCGAGCACTACGACGTCAAGCTCGAGGGCCCGGAGCGCCCGCCGACGGAGTGGTTCGGGACGCTCGCCGCAGCGAATCGGTTCGGAAAGGTGATGTTCCGCAAGCGGACGGATGTCTAGAGGGCGGATGTCAATCTGCATAGTACTTCATTTCTCGTAGTCAATTGTCTTATATGCATAGCACTTAATTTTCCTCTGAATTGAATGCAGAACAAGTGAGGCAAATGTCCTGCTCCTAACACCTCCAATCTTGAGGGTCATCAGCTAAGAGTTCAGGTGTCCACTTTATAGCCAATGCATGGGGCAAATCTACCATCTATATAGCCCACAGCTCACTGTTAGTTATTAGGTGGGACGAGTTAGGTTGATACTAACAACTATTTCCAGGGTTCTCATTGCCAAACCTAAGGTTTGGCCCTATATATAATCATGTTGAAACCAGCCCCCCCATATTGGGAATGGCTGTGCAATTCTATAACCCTTTTGTCATGAGCCATATCATATCATGTGTAGTTGCTCACTCGGGTATAGTGTTGTGATAGCCACTTGGTTTTCTTTTGGACTGTCTGTTACTTCCCTTTGGTTTTTGCATGGCCCTTAACCAAATCCAACAATATAGTCCTTAACTAAAGTCTGCTTACAGCCAATGCAAATCATATCACATGGTATGTGGGTCAGTATGGCCTACCATACATTCTGCAAGTATGTTGTTTAAACCTGTTCCCAAAATCAATCCCCAGTACTTCAAGAAGGCCATCACCAATGTCTGTTAAGTATTTGTTGTTATTTCTCTCCATCCACATCAACAGGAAGCAGCAGGGACCTGCTGCTTGGATTCAACATGTCCCTCAATGCCTGGCATACTGGGTGTGTCTCTTCTTTCTTAGAGAGTATGTAGCTAGGTTAAGTACTGAAGGTGTACAGGATGCTATAAACAGGGTGGTAATTACTATATTACCTTCTATTCCCCATCTTCAAGTTTTGCCTATGCATCATTGTTGCCTCATTCATCCTTTTACTGACTTTGGACAGCAATTTATAACATATTCTTACCCTACCAATACCAATGCCTATTGTAATCCTAATACCAAGCAAGATCCTATTTATTCTTGGTATTTTGCAGGTGTTCCCTCTGCCGCAAAACATTCTGGTTGTTTGATCACTCTAAAATTTTCTATATGATGATATTTACAAGTTGAACACTTTGCACATTTATATTAAGGCCCACAATTTCAGTGGTTGTGGTTGCAAGAAATAACTTTAAGAACTCAAACTAGAATTCAAATTATATAGTTTTATAGAGCATGGTCTAGTGTGCCACACCTAACTTAGCATTCAAAACAGTAACATTCTTGGTCTTTAATCTGCTGATCTCTCTGATATATCTTTTGCTTAGAGTGCTAATCTCTTAACTGTTATTATCATATCCATGGATCTGACAACCATTCTTGGCCCACTGGGCTCTTGTCATAGTTCAGGTCAGGCTGCCCACTTCTTAGAGCTACATAGTCAGGCCTGACCACCTGCCTGCTCTCTTTGCCTATCATTTCTTCAACCCCCATCCTTTTACCCCTACACAACACTCATCCAATCCCATCTCTAATACTTACTTGTATAAAAACCATATCTCCAGACTGTATTTAACATCTTAGCTATTTTATGTAAGACCTGTTTTATTTATTCATATTGTCATACATAATATATTGCCAATTATACCAGGCAGGATAATTTCATTAGTATATAACTACTTCATTAATGTGTATTCTTTAACTAGAGTAGCCATATATGAAATTGTCACTAATTGCATCAAATCATACTAACTTATCACTGGGGGTGTATGAAACTTTTTAAGAATTATTACAGAATTATCTGGATAATTGTGATAGTATAGTCTCTAGCGCTTTTTTTTATATTAGAAGGCTGATTTTGTGTTGGTTTTGCGCTTTGTTGTAGATTTCGATTGAACGCGCTTTTGTGTTGATGCTTGAGTCGGTCTTTTCGACGAAGATGCTTGAGTTTTTGTCGATTTTGTCGGGATTGTCCGATTTCGATCGCCTTGCGAGTTACGGGTAGTCCTCGGTTTCGCGTTCGCAGATAGTTTTGGTACGAATAACGGTGTCGGTCTCAGTTCTCCAACTCCGCGTAATAGATTCGGAAAATCATTCGGTTGGGAATCAGTTAGATCTCGCTGTTTCCCTTTTGGTGGTATTTTGACGTTCGATCCAAGCGTGTGGGCGCTTGCTTTTCTTCTTGCTTGTCACAAATTGCACGAAACCAAGTTTCAGCAATACTCGATCACCCCTCGGGTGGGCTCCAGATGATGAGTGTGGAGTGGGGACAGCAAATGAGCTCTCTAACTAACCAAACCAACAAAAACAACCAAAACTCCACTTTTCGTAGAGAGAAAGATGTATAATGTCGAGTAGGAAAAGTCACAAAACCCAAAAATCGTCAACTCCTTGTGCGAGTACAGGCCCCTGTGAACAGAGCCTTGGCACAGATGTGTAAGGTTGTAGGGTAGATACGAGTTTCTTGCGAAAAACGTTGATTTGTCGTGCCCCAAAGCGTACTATCGACGAAACTCAGCAATAGAGAAGCGCCAATACGATGCCCGGAGAGTTTATACTCGTTGGATCAGGACTAACTGCCTTAAACCCTCTGAGTTGTCTCGAGTCAGGAACTAACTGCCTTAAACTCTCGACCAGCAACCGAAACCCAATAAACAGCAACCGGAACTCTTGTATTCAGCAACCGAAACCCTCAACCAATAATCCTTCCGACGATATAATACTATTTCGAAAGAGCTAGCAAGATAGATTGACGAGCTAGATCCCCAGATGCACCTAGTAGAGCGGGGCAATCCGTGAACCTGCCAAATACAAAACAGAGATATAAATACGAAACAGAAATTGATAGAATCAGGGAAAATCTCGAGTAAGAAAAGTCGCCCATGTGCATAATTGTATAGGTATCGTTTCGCCATACGGCCCAGAGTCGAAAATCCAGGTCCAGATGACTGGTATCGCGTGTATTGGAGTCAATGACCTGTGTAAATCTTCCGTGTTCGCGACCATCTAGTTTGTCTTGTGAAGAATCCCTCGATCTTGAGTAGGATAAGTGGATAGCTCTGCTTCCCAGCTTTCGATTGACACCCATAACTCGTATCTTGTGCATATGGCCTCAGCGGTGGTTGTCCCAACTCTCCTGGCGCATTTCCAACGTTCAGATGATCAGTTCCTCGACAGTGTTTTAGAGTCGCCGTTGATCACAGGTCCAGGCCCCAGTCAATTGAGTAGGTTTTCGCCGTTTAACCGTCCCTTGGCACTCTCGATCCTCCAGCATGATCCGAAACCACGTTCCAATGATGTCAGTCGTTGATACCAACAGAGATAGGGGTGTCCCTTATCTAGGAGAAGTCGATCTCGAGTCTCCACTGAGCGCCAAACTGAATATGCCTTTTAGAATACACTCCCTTTGGGTATTTTGCATAGAATTGGATAGATTCTAGCGAGAACGGGCTCTGCGAACTTTTCCTAGTCAAGATTTTGGAATCACTGAGAGCGATTTGATAGATTTTGACTGGAGTTTGACTGGTTCTTGTGCAGGTGATCCCCTAGTTGACCATTCGGGACTCATGTCAACTCTGAGACGTGCGCTGAGCAACAAAATCGACAAAAATAGTCGTTTCCTGGTCTGTCCCAGACTGCGGCTTATCACCGTGTGTTGTGTTGTAGTAGATTGGCAGCTCTAAGACGCGCTACCTTACCCTCTGCAAGATCAAGGATCTGCAATTCCCATGCTTGGGCAACCTAAGTACTATATTCTTTAGCTTTCTAGGTAATCCGAGCAATGTTTGCTAATGGTGAAGAAGCTGCTTGTCTTCTGTCTTAAGCCTTTGCATTTTGCACCCAGTTAGCAACACTTAATTTAGAGGAACTACTAATATCCACACCTGATTAGATGTTAGACACATCTGATAAGCAAAACTAATTTATGTACAGGAGTTTGAGTCGTTTATCTATAGTTGCAATCTTCTCATTTACATGCTGGCAAGAATTGAATGCATCTGGTTACAAATAGTTGATAAAGAAAAAGGCTTGCTTACCTTGGATTGTATCTTGCACTCACCTGTGTTAAGATCTGAGGCCTAAAAGAAGTGATTAAGAGATGTTTAATTATACGTACTATATACCTTGTGCTTAGACAAGAATGAGTTTAGACATTACACTCGACCGCTGCCTGGTATTTTGCCAGGTTGACCTTCTTTGAGTTGCCATCGAGGAATTGAAGTCGATTTGGACGATATGATGGGCAGATGATCGAAGGAATTCACTGTGAACCTGGCTTAATCATTGCTTACTCTGTTGGTGCATTAGCTAGTAAGTGATAAGAACAGACACATACAATACACTAAATGTGCAATATAATGATTGGTTGCTTCCTTCTGAGGTGCATGTTCCCTGTTGTCATGTGCTGTATATTGCGGGCCCGCTATAGCCTAATACCCGCTGTGGAGAGGACAGGTTGGGTCTTATCTTTACATATTTTCTCTTTATGAACCCTAACAACAAAGCTTACCGCAAAGTGCTTATAGCTCTTAAAGACAAGGCTGTAGAGTTATAACAGTGGTTAGCAGAGATTGAGGACGTGGCACACTTTTACCAAAATGCATTAAATCTACCTAGTCCTGATGCTGCCTAAGGAAACACTTTGCAAAATCTTAACTAATGTGCAAAATACAAGTAACAACAGTCTTCTTAACATTATAGGATGGTGGTTGCCTTAAATATAGCTTGCTCTAGTCTGCAGGCAATTTTACATGCTTGTTAACACTATCCCTTTCTTTTTGAGATATTTCCACATTTAGAGCAATTTCACAGCCTGACACATCTATTATCTTTACTAAGTTGTCCAACGATACCCTCATGTCTTATTTACAGTTTAAATAGATGACTACATGCCTATAGTGGAAGTTCCTGCTTCTCTCATACCATATCTGCCTTTAAATATTAAATCCTAATCCTATCTCCTTTGCCTTCTTGCTGTTAACACTCCAGTCGTTTGCGCTTTCAGTTCCAATCAAAACATTGCATATATTATTAAATTCTCAAGATCTAGAG